TGATGAAGAAATCAAAGAATTCTGCCAATGATGTCTGTCGGATATTGATCATACATGCAGTCAAGATATATTAATAGTTATTGGTAATTGGAATGCAAAAGTTGGAAACACAGAGGAAGGAACTAAAGACTTGGTGATATAAATGAAGCTGGAGATCACATGATAGAATTTTGCAAAACTAATGATTTGTTCATAGCAAATACCATTTTTCAACAATGGAATACATAGAAATCAAATTGACTACATCTGTGGAGAAGCTCAGTATCAGCAGCTAACACCACACCTGGCGTCAATTGTAGAATATAATTGCTCATATGTAAGTTCAGGATAAAGCTCAAGCAAATTAAAACAAGTTCACAAAAGCCAAAATACAATCTTAAGTTTATCCCACCAGAATTTCAAGAACATCTCGGGAACACATTTGACACATTAAACACTAAAGATAGAAGAATCGATGAGCTGTGTGGTAAGACCTCAAGAACAGCATTCTTGAAGGAAGCAAAAGGTCATTAAAAAGACAGGAAAGGAAGAAAAGATCAAAGTGGGTGTTAGAAGAAACTCTGAAACTTTAGCCATTGTAGAGTGGCTAAAGCAAACGGAAGAAAGCATGAAGTCAGGGAGCTAAAGAAAATTTCAAAAGGTGAGTTGAGAAGACAAAGCCAAATGCTGTAATGAAATATACACAGATTTAGAATTAGAAAACCAAAAGGGAAGAACTAACTCAGTAGATCTAAAACAGAAAGCTCTCAAGAAAAAATTCATGCTGCGAGTTGCAATCTTGCAAGATTCTATAGGTAAAACACTGAATGATGCAGTCAGCATCAAGGTAAGATGGATAGAATACACAGAGTCACTATACCAAAAAGAAATAGTCAACATTCCCCCATTTCAGGAAGTGAAACACATGCGCAAGAAACAATTGTGCTGAAGGAAGAAGCTCAAACTGCACTGAATCCATTAGTCAAAAGCAAGGCTCCAAGGTTTGGCCTCAGAATGTGGATTAGAGGAAGGTTTAGGAACAACCTGCACTGTGCAAATGACATAACCTTGTTTGCTGAAAGTGAGGAATTGAAGCATTTGCTGATGAAGATCAAGGATTGCAACCTGCAGTATGGACTACAACCTAATGTAAAGAAAACCCAAATTCTCACAACTAGACCAATAGGCAACATCATGATAAATGGAGGAAAGGTTGAAGGTGTCAACGAGTTACCTTGTTTGGATTCACGCTCATGGAAGCAGCTATCAAGAGATCAAAAACATGTTGCATTAGGTAAAATTGCTACACAAGACTGCTGCTTTAGGAAATTGAAGAGCAAGGTTGTTACTTTGAAGACTAAGGTGCCATAGTATTCTCCATAGCATCATATGCATATGAAAGTTGGACACTGAATTAGGAAGACTGTAGGAGAATCGATGCATTTGAATTGTGGTGCTGGAGAAAAATATTGAAAGTACCATGTACTTCTAAAAAGACAAACCAATCTGTATGGGACAAAGTAAGGCCAGAGTGCTCTTTAGAGGCTAGGCTAGCAAGACTTCTATCTTACATACATTGGATGGGTTGTCAGACCAGTTCCTGGAAAAGGACTTCACGCTTGGGAACAAAACGAAGGCCTTCAAGAGATGACTCCACACAGTGGTTGCATCAAAGAGTTCAGGGTTAGGAATCGTTTTGGGGATGGCACAGGAATGTGCTGGGCTTCATTCTGCTGTGAATAGGGGCACTATAGATGGGAGCCGACTCGATGACCCTGACAACAAAAGCAGCTCGGGCACATGGAAGTCAAGAAACTGAATAGAGAATTTCAAAGGGCAGCTCGAGAAAATAAAGGGAAATTAATCAAATATGCACAGACCTAGAATTTGAAATACACGCACATACACAAAAGGAGAAAAAGAAGAACACTCTCAGCATATCTTAAACTGAAAGAACCCAAGAAAAAACCATTCAAGGTCCCAGTTGCAACATTGAAAAATTCTCTGGGGAATATGGAATGATATAGGGAAAATGGAAAGAATGCACAGTCACTGTACCAAAAAGAATGAGTTTATAGTTAATCATTTCAAGGGGCAGGATACGAGGAAGAACATGGGACCGAAGGAAGAAGTCCCAGCTGCACTGAATGCATTAGTCAAAAACAAGGATCCAAGAAGTGATGGAATACCAATTTTAACAACCAATAAAGCCCTGGAAGCACGCACTCATCTATGCTAAGATATTTGGTAGGTAGTTACCTGGCCAACAGGCTGAAAGATATCTGTTTTGCACCCATTTCAAAGAAAAATGATTCAACAGAATGCTGGAATTACATAACAATATCATTGACATCACATACAAGTAAGTTTTGCGGAAGATCCTCCAACAAGGATTGTCGCAGTACCTTAACGGGGAGCCACCAGATCTTTAGGCCAGATTCAGAAGAGGACATGCAATAAGGGCTATTATTGCTGATGGCAGGTGGATCCTGGCTGCAAGCAAAATATAAAAGAAAGATGTTTTCTTGTGTTTTATCGCTTATGCAAAAGCATTGGACTGTGAGGATCATAAGAAACTATGGATAGCCAGCAGAATATTGGAATTCCGAAAGACTTCATTGTGTACGTGAGGCAGTTGTGCAAACATAACAAGGAAATATTATGTAGTTCAAAATGAGGAAAGGTGTGTGACAGCATTTTATCCTCTCATCACTTGTTCTACCTGGATGCTGAACAAATCCTCAGAGAAGCTGGTTTATAGAAAGAAAAATGTGGCATCTGGATTGGGACAAGGCTAATTCACTCTGTGATTGCAGATGATACTACCTTGATTGCTGAAGGTGAGGAGGACTTAAATCACTTGCTGATGACGGTCAAGGATTGTGGCCTTCAGTTTGAATTAAATATTAATATAAAGAAGACCCAAATCCTTAAAACTACCAATAGATAACATCATGACATATGTGGAAAAGACTGAAGTTGTCCAGGATTTTGTCTTGCTCAGATTCACAATCAGTTCACATGGAAACAGCAGCCAAGATATCAAATGACGCATTTCATTGTGTAATTCTGCTGCACAAGACCTCTTTTTAACTGTTGAAAAGCAAGGATGTTACCTTGAGGATTATGACACGCTTGACCCCGGGCACGGTATTTTCAGTGACTTCATATCTATGTAAAAGTTGCATATTGAATAAGGAAGACTGATGAAGGGTGGATGCATTTGAAACGTGGTCCTGACAAGGACTGTGGAAAGTCTCATCGACCGCCAAAAGCACTGAACAGTCTGTCTTAGAGGAAGCACAGCCGCGATGTTCCTGAGAGTCGAGGAGGGGAAGACTTGGTCTCACTGTTTTGGACATACTGCCAGGAAAGACCAGTCCCTGGAGAAGGACCTTTTGCTTCATTAAAGATAAGGCATCAAAAAGACGACCTTCGCCAAATGGATGGACATCATAGCTTCATAGATGGGCTCATGGCACTAAGAACCATTGTGAGGAGGCTTAGGACCAGGCAGAGTTTCCTTCTGTTGTACACAGTATTGCTGAGGGTTGGGCCAGACTCGATGCTACCTAACTACCACAACAACACCAGGCATGGCCTGCCTTCATGTGGCTTGGCAACAGCGTGCCCCTGAGTGTAAGGACAGTCTCAGTGCAGGGACCAAATGACACATTTGACTCCTAGGGCTTCTTTCTGTCTCTGCTCATTTCTCTTTTTATAAAATGTATGTTGCAAGCTACACTGTAGAAGACCTCTGTTACATCAGACTAGGGGAGTGTTGGGATTAAGGGAGTTCTTACATCCATCCTTAATACTTTATTGGTTTATAGCATCAGATCACATCATGAAGTATCATCATATAACTGCCACATGGCATCATTACATGCGATGTCAGGCCAAACCACTGAGAATCATAACCAAGCCAAAGTGACACATATTTTGAGGTGACACAGTCCATCCCGTGGTAGTGTTGTTCAAGTTATCTGTATGCTTCCTAATTTTTCGTCTATTCTATCATGAACCTGTTCATGCCATGTGTTAGTCATTAGTCTACTACCTTCAAATTCGTCCATGCAAAACCACTAGGCAATTAAACAGGGTAAAGATTTACAGACTCAGAAAGGCTGTAAGGGATTGGGTTCCTCGACAGATAACATTGAGAGATGGTTTGAAGGGTGAGGAATATCATTGTAATGCTAAAACAGAAAGGATTTTAAATTGAAAAGAAGACAAAGGCATCGACCTCAATGATGCTTTTTAAGACTAGATTAGTTTTTAAAGGAGGAAATGGAAAAGAAAACAAGGTATAGTAAATGGTAATTGCAGAAATAAAAGTTAAAATGATAATATCCCTGCACAATGGTAAGTTAAAGCAAATTTGGACATTCAATAGTAATACCATGTGTGTTCAGGGAAGCGGAATCAGTAATCCTCATGAACAGAAGAAATGTGGAGGCTACTTGTGGATTTGGAGGCTGGTGGTGGGTGTCAAGACAACTCCAGGCATTCTAAAGAGCCATCTGGTACGATTTATTCATATAAATAGGTCTGTGAATACCCTGTGATCTAATCATTCTGTTGAGGGTTTAAAAAGAGATGAAGAGTCCCATTGAGTCCTCCAAGTTCATAAAGACTCCTTGAATTCCCAAAGAGACACAAGGAGGATGTGCACTGCATCTTTCACTGAAGGGTCGAGAAGTTGTAGCTAAATCTGATGTTCCCTCCCAGGAATGCTTTGTAACAAAACCAAAGCAACAGTTTGATTTTCTACCTAACAACACGGATGGATTTTAACTCAAATTTCAAATCGGGAAGCAAAGGGGAAAAAGAGAAAAAGGTAACATGAGGTCTATATGACATAGTAACATTTATATAAGTTAAAGTATATGCACACAAAGAGATCTTTATTCACCTTTCCCTGCTCTTTTGTGAATACTGGATTACCTCTGCCCATTACATGTCTATACAGATCATCTAAAATGAATCATAATTCTGTTGAAAATGTTTTCTTCTCGCAGACGTTGATGAATGCCAGGCAATTCCTGGCATATGTCAGGGCGGAAACTGTGTCAACACTGTGGGCTCCTTCGAGTGCAGATGCCCTGCTGGCCACAAGCAGAGCGAAACGACTCAGAAATGTGAAGGTATGTGTCTCTAACGTAGGGATGTGCTTAACTGTTTAGTCTGAATTGAGATGATCCATTTTGCATTTCTGCGAATATTAATCACCACGAATAGTTTCAGTATGGACATGTAGATAGACCCTGTTATCAGTGTGTATATTACAGCCTTCATGGGTTTGAATGGAAAGAGTCAATGAGTATTTTGCATCTGGCTTTTTTATCTCCCTTGCTGTGTGAGTGAGATTGAGAGTAATCCAGCTATTTGTATTTTCCCCTAATAATTTAGTTTTCCATTCTGCTTAAAAATTTGTATCAAAAACTAAAATTAAGGTAAAGAGAAGAAGTCCAATGACTACACTGTATGTAAAATTATACTTTAATAGTTGGCACTATGCCATATGATGTAAAATAAAATGTTATTTTCATTGTTTAATTGAATAGTGTTGCTTCACTAACCATCAAGTTAAGAAAACAAATAGTTGAGACAAGAGGATTGGGAAATACCCTAAAAACTCCTGTGAAAGAACAATTTTACCCAAATAAAGATACACAAGGGGGGTGGGGGTGGGAAGACAAATGATTTCCTGGAAGATGAGATTTTAGTTTTAATATTGAAGTACAAGTTCCATCAGCATTCTTCAAATAGAATAAATTCATTTGTTATATTTACCGAATAAAAAGCTACCAAATTTAAGAACCACCAAAGGATGTGAGTTGTAATGAATCATATTTAGAATAACTGATATTTTTAGTAGTATTGAAGCAGCACTAGTGGCGTAGTAGATTCCGAGTTGGGGTGCTAACTGCAGGATGAAAGTTTGAAATCACCAGCACTCCTTGGGAGAAAGACTTCTGCCCCTGTAAAGAGTTATAGTCATAGAGCTGCTCCTTATAGACAGTAGCAGTTCATCCCTGTCCTGAAGGGCTCCCTATGCGTTGGAATTGACTCAAAGGCACAATTAAAGCAATGTATGTCTTCATTTAAGATTGTCTTCTTAAGGCATTACTCACTACCATTGAGTTAATGCGGACTCATAGCAACGCGCAGTGTGTCTCTGAGACCATAACTGTTCATGGGAGTAGACTGTCTCGTCTTTCTTCCTTGGAGCTGCTGGTGGTTTTGAACTGCTGACCGTGCGATTCACAGCCCAGTGCATAACCACTGCACCATTAGGGCTCCATTCTTAAGACAATTGAACATAACCATTTTCATTTATATGACAGCAGTGTTCTCATCAAGCCAAAGCTTTGTTTTTGTTTTTTTTAAAGAAAATAACTTTATTTTTACTTACAGTATGCTACAATGAATTGCATGGGCTTATTTGTATGACTTTTGTTTTTGCTTTTAACAAGCCAAAGGTTTAAATGTTTTTTCTGAAGGTTTGTTTTTGCCACTTCAGTTTATCGAAAGTAGGAAAAGTATATGAAAACTACTTTAATGCTGGATTTATCCCATGTGCCAAGTAAGATCTCAAATGAGGGCATTCACTCACTAGACTAAAAGTGACAAACATATTACATTACTTCTTGTTGGGAAACACATTTTCCAAGTTTATTCAGAGCCATTTACCATCAATAATTGGAATAATCTTGTATTGGGTACAGCTGTTATTTTGTTTGTTTTATTTGCTCCTTTTCTAAAATGTACTTCAGGGGATGTTTTGTGTTAGTTGGTTATATAAAGTTGTATTCTCTTTAGAAAAGAAAATGGGGAAAAGGCCACAAAAGGTAAGCAGAAATAGGAGATGTATTATGAGACAAGAAGTCTTACTAACAATATTAACAATAACACTCTTGTGTCAATACCAGGAACCATAATTTTGTAAACCAATATAACGTCTATCATCCTACATTATTTTTATTAGATTACTTTTACGCTTACCTCGATGCATTTACTCTCATCTTCAAATCAATCTTTAGAGTTTTAGACATTAATCCAAGCTAATTACATGATCCCCGCAAAAGAGAATGTACCGAGGTCATCTCTTTTAAGGGGGGGAAAAGGTTCTCTGAAATTGGTAATGAGTAGTCTCAAGTAATTGATATCCATTTAAGTCACCCACTACTGATAACTAGAGTCTGCTTATAGTGGAAGAGTTAAGAAAAATAGTTGGAAGATATGAAAACTTCTGAATTAACATAGGGATTGAGCCAGAAAATCAGTCACACACAGAAAGTCTTGAGTTTGCTGTGGTTCCATGGTATAGCTTATCAAGTTGTCCCCGTTTGGCTTTTTTGAGGTTGATTCCACTGCTTAACTTTTTGTCACCACCCTTCACTTTTGACTTCAGAAGAAATATCCACATTAGATCCAAGGTGCAGTCTACGTAGAAACAAAGAACATGTTTGATTATAGGTGAGATGCCAAAGTCACTGACTGATTATAGTGGCTGCGACATTTCCATACACCTCCAAAATGCATTTCTTCTTAGTTGAATATGGAATAAGCCTTTTTACATCAAATTTCATCAAAACAACCTACAGAGCCAAGCATGAATTAGGGAGAAGACAGTACAACTCTTTATTCACCACTTGTCTATGTTTTTTAGGAAAGGGGGCTATTGATATAATGTAGGCACCACCCCAAGTCCCTGAATATAGTCATCTCTTTCCTGACTTCCTGCCCAGGCAGCCAAATTCATTTAACGATTGCCCAGAAAGAATTATGTGATTTAATATTCTGGATTGGTGGGGACTAGCCATATTCAAAGAAATGGTGATTGCAATTTGAAATCTAGAAGTTTTATGAACTCTTTCCTTTGTGTATACATCATATTTATTTGGAGAAATCTTAAAAGTGAACTTTTATCCATTTACACAGGTAGTATTCATTCTTGATGTAAAAGAACAAATATTTACACATATAAAATTATTTAATGTAATGGGGGACACAATGTATGTGAAATAGAATGTAGGTGGGAAAATTGTAAACTATTGCTACATTTTATGATAGGTCTTGCCATATAATTAAGATTAATATTTGCTCTAACTAAAAATAAAACCACAGCAATCACTGTTTGATCAATGGTTAAAAGCATAAAGCATTTTACTTGTTTATGTGAATTACAAGGTTATATATAAAAGACGGGCATATTCGCAGGTTTAATTTCAAATTATATCTTTCCTATTTTATAGCACATTTCATATTTTTCTGTTCATTTATCCAGTACATTCTTAACAGATGACTTTTAGTCTTTAAGTTTCAGGGTCTACTCAGGAATAAGAATAACTCTAGTATTTTGAGTCATAGTGATTGGAAAATGGCATACTATTGACCACAAATTGCAAAGTATGTGAATTTAATTTTTTCTCTTTTATTGTTGCATTTCTTGAGTATACGTGTTTGTAGACTGTCACTCCAACTTTGGAGTAAGGTTTTTGAGGACAGAGACTTTTCATGTTTAGCGTTGTCTCCCAGAGCCTCGAATAATACTTTGCGTGTTATAGGCTCCTTGAAAATGGGTTGATTAGTTGACGGTGGAGTGTACGATAAGTTTATTTATTTCACTTGGTTGAATGTCCAAGAGAGAAGGAAAATTGTGGAGCCAAAATTAACATCATATTTGGAAAGAGACCAGTCATCTTCACTAAGGAATTTCCCTTGGTCTGTTTTTCATAATTTGATTGCTTCAGTTGCTATTGAGAAAGCAAACACGTAAGCTTTGAACTCAAGTTGATATTTTTAGACCTTCAATCTCATTGTTCCTTTTAGGCCAACTGTAGGTAATGTCTTTGGGCTGTCGACTTTCTCACCCTCTACCTAAAAAACAAAATTTCTTCTGATTCTTCATTGGGATGTCTTATTCTAAAAGAGACTTAATGCAATAAAGATGTGTTTGATTATACACTGTTTTGTTTAAACACGGAATTGTATCCTCCCTCCATATTCATTGAAGTTTGGCTTGGTGAATTATCTTATGAGATTCTTATTATAGCCAAGTCTTCCCCCAGCTGTAAGTCTGATCCCCAGTTTGATAGGAATATATGTTTTTACTTTTCTCTTTCTCTTGCCCTCTCTCTGTGTGTGGGTATGTGCGTGTGCTTGTGTGTGTGGATGTGTGGCATTTTCTCATGGTGCGTGCTTGTGGGTATCTTTCTGTCTGGAGGAGAATCACTGTTTGCCTCTACTTAGTGTCAGGGATTGCATAAAGCCTTCTGCGATGGCCACAGCAGTCATGTCTTATTTCTTTTGGGCTGCTTTGCCTCCAAAATCGGCTTTCTTAACTCTGTCAACCTGGGGGCATAATAATTTTTGGTGGAGTAAATCTTTCTTAACCCTCCCAAGAGAAAGTTGTCTTATTTACCCACTCCAGTCATAACTTATTCTTTTAAATATAAGTTTAATTTAAATGAAAAACACATCAATGTCATATGAAATTACAGATCAGAAGAGGTCCGGTCATTGCTCTCTTTTTCAAAAGTCAAATATAAGATCCTTTGAAGTTCAGTCCAGGTGGACAGAACGCGAATAGGTGCCAAAGGTCCTTGCATTGTCCCTCCTTTCAGACTATAGCCTAGGTGTCCTCAAACTACTGCCCATGGGCCACATGCGGCCTGCCGAGGACATTTATCTGGCCCGCCGGGTGTTTTTTCCCTGTTTGTTTTTTACTTCAAAATAAGATATGTGCAGTGTGCAAAGGAATTTGTTCATAGTCTTTTTTTAAACTATAGTCCAGCCCTCCAACGGGTCTGAGGGACAGTGAACTGGCCCCCTGTTTAAAAAGTTTGAGGACCAAGCCTCTTTAACACCCTTAAGCTAATTTTCCTATTCTGGCTTCACCAGGAGGCATTGGAGAGTCTCCTTGCACTGGTGCTCTATACGCAAGGTAGTTGCTTGCAGCTTACTCTGAAGAATCTTCAGCTTTGTTCCATTGGCTTAGAGTTTTGTTGTTTGAGATTTATGACAAGAAATGTTTATTTATGCTCATGAAATACATAAAACTTGTTGGCACCATATACTTTGCTGTCGTGCCAGCTCTGCTTTGATAAATCATGGAAAATGTAACTTTCTGTATCAGAAT